AACATTACCTTCAGGGAAACAAGTGGTGATGCAGCTCTGTATTTTACATTAACAGGCAGATTTCCAGCTACCAAATAAGAAGACAGCCTATCACACTTCAAGTCATGAAAGTGGATTAATTGCAGAGTCTGGGGCTCATGGTCCTAATTCACACACCAACTTTATAACCATATACTTTGCACCCTCCCACACACTATTCAAAGTTTTAATATACCAGACACAGCAATTCCACTTTTCTAAATATTGCCAGAGCAAGCCACACTGGCTTGTAAAATGACTTTTACACCATAATAATGACACTGCATATTCAGTGGCTTGACATAGTGAAACATCCTGGAAGATATCCTCAAATTCAATTTGCTTGGAATGTTTTAAAATAAAATACAAAAAAAGGATCTGTTCAAGGCTTGACATTCACAAGCTATCATGATTATCAGAAACAAGAAAGAGTGGGTGTATTTCTAGTTAGTATTCCAGTTTCTTAAACTTGTACTTTTTACAAAAGTTGATAGCAACCGAGCAGATTGCCTCTGAAATGTACGTATGCAGAGAGAAGTAAAGAAAGAGCTACAATCAGAATACAAATATAGCAAACTGTTAGTTATTGGGTATTTTAAGAGAATTCCTCAACATGTGTTGTATTCTTTCTCCCTAAATAACCTGGAAAATAAGAAATGAAACAACTAAAGCTGTCTTGAAAACCTATGGATAACTATTGAGTAGAAAGATATCATCTTTACATTCTTAAGTAGAAGCTTTATGGTTTGTATTCCCCACATTCTATGAAAAACTACTTAAGGATTAGAGTACATATGAGTAGCACTGCAAACAAACATCCCTGTGTAGAAGTGCAACTTCTGTGACTATAACCTTTCCAGGCATCACGGGAAACTTTTGGAAAGTAAGCCTCAAGTTATCTGGGTTCCTATTGAGCACTTTGCAATAATGATAACATTAAAAAGTAATAATATTGCTATTGCCTGGCAAAAATCTGTGGCCTTCAGCTAAATAACCCCTACTCCATGTTGCCAAAAGAGGTGAAGACTCCCTCCGCTATTTAGATGAGGAATCAGAGAAATTGTGCAGCTTCTTTAAATAGTGGAATGAGACTTACAAGAACGGTAGCCAGATCCAGGCTTCCTGAGCTTCTAGTTATGCTCTCAATTCATAGGACATATGCCCCGGAGACAAAATGCTTTTATTTATGAGGCTGAACTCAAGATTAATCAGAAGAAAGTGAACAACCATGGTAGTCTGACTCATGTTGTCAATACAGATATACGTGGCCGGTCACAAAGTTTATCCAGATAAGAATGTGTAAGGGAAATAGGTCACTTTAAGTCTGTATTTTCATGCTCTCCGGATATTGCGTATTACCCAAGCATGTGCCTTTGAAGTCAAAAGCTTACAATTTCATTAGTTTTCTTTACTACTATTTATATATGTATAGTCTTAACTGATTTTTTGAGTTTTTTGAGTTTTTTTGGCTTTGTCTTTTTGCCTATTTCACTTGAATCAGTTAACACAGAGACAAATATCCGCCTTACTGTATAGCCCTACAGCCAATCCTGGGCACTAGCAACATATGTCCAATCTTTATACTAGAGAAAATGAATCCTGGCACCGTGGATGGAAACAAGACCCAAACAAGTTTAAGTATCTCCAGGGAATCTCCTCAAAAGACAGCATAGTACAGTAAAATATATCAAAAATATTCCTTCTATATTAAAAAATATATGGTGCAACAGAGGAAAGCGCTAGTAAAACCAAAGAAGGTGGGGATTAGTAAGAAAATTAGAAATTGGCAGCTTGTGACAGTGAGTGCGATACGTGCCATTGAACAATGCATCCCTGAGCATTTTGCAGAGCCACGTCACACCAAACCATACTAACAGGAAAAAAGTAAGTAGCTTCTCACAGAGAAGCACTGAAAAGCAAAGGCTTTGGAAGAGCATCCTCCTGCCAACTAAGCAAAGACAGTACTTCCACAGCAGAGAGTCAAAGATAATGGTTTCTAATTTCAAGTTTTTGCAGAGGAAAAAGGAAAAGGATATCTTGTGAATTCTGGTGATTCAGTGGGAGAATACAGAAACAACTTCTGGCAGATGCTATAATCGTGCTGACAGTTCTGCTCTATCTCCTTTAAAACACGAGGTTCTTGTTTTACCAAGAGCATTTGCCCTGAACCAATATTCTGCTGTACGAAGTACAGTGGGAACCTAAGGAGCTAGTTCTGCAGTCGTACAGTGTCCCAAAGCAGGTGCAATTGCATTATTTTGTAGCTATGCTTCTCTTTCTCTCTTCTTGGCAAAATCAATCTACTCACACAGCCATCCATACTGCATAAAGAAGCATCTTGAAGATAGCTAATTGATTATTTCAAAAATACCAAGAGCAGTAAAGATAAGAATAAGCAAGCAAAAAAGTCTGTTTTAAGAAAACATTAGGGAATATTATGAGTGCGTTCCTTTAGGATCAAGAGAGATTTCACTGTGAATGCAGACTAAAAGCAATAAAGCATCGGCAGACCGTCCTTCTCTTTGCAGTGACATGTCTGGCTTTTCTTTGAAATTACATGCCTAACAGAACTGAATCCACACCAACTACATGGCCTGCATACCTTTCTGGACTTCTCATGTTGAATGGGAAGGCTTAAAGCCTGCCTCTGTGTGTGGCAATCCACCAAATGGCCTCACTGAGTTTTCTCTAAGTACGAGAACTTCATCAAAGCACATCTTAAATTACTTACCACAGCATCATCTTTGGCTCAAATGAGAGCCCACATAGGGAAAGAAGCTGCAAGGGATGGGAAGGCGTGGGAACTGAAAGGAGACACATGGTAAAAGAAGTAGTGTCTCAAAAGAACCTATGTCATTTCAGTTTATAAGAGTAGCCTGTTTGGAGCACACTCTAACAAGGAGGGTGGAGAGCTTGCTCAGGGTGCTTTCAGACCAACTGGGTGATCACAGGAATACAACAGAACAACAGCTGACAGGGTAATGTTACAAAAATGCGCTGCAACTTTACTTAATGCTGTGCATACATACAAATCCAGCAGAAAGTTGGAAATGCTTTTAGCACTGTTTCAAACTCTGAAGAAGCAGCATGCCCAAGCACCAGTTATTTTCAATTTGATTAGGAGCCTCACTTCCTTAGATTCTTAACAATTCCTTATGAGACTTGCATGGTATTTCCACAGGAGCAGTAAAAGACTCATTTTTAAGTTCCCGGAAGCTTTCTTGCCTGCCAATCCATAATAGACCTCAGTTTCAGTTTTCTCTTTGTCATTTTGGAAATAAAGTTAAACAAACACAAAGAAAACCAAACAATAGCTTACCCACAGACAGTGAGTAGTGCTAAAAAGCATCAAATAGAATTTTGTTACATTCTGTACTTGCTCTTTGCAAATTCAATGCCAGTAGACCTTAAGATCTCAGACCAAGGCCCCACAGTAAATGTCAGCAACTCAATCAAAAGCTAGAGAAAAAAAGACCTCTTTTAGAAGAACCATGTAAAGAAGAACAAATAAAACTTCCAGTTTCTTCAGTGTTACCTTTGAATTACTGCTGTTCAAACTCATTGAGATGCTGTGCTACATATCAGAGAAAGAAAACATGTTTCATATATAAATAAAATATATACATACATATTTTATAAATATTTTATGTAAAATATATAAATATAAATAAACAATCCCTTATGACAATGAAAAATATCTTCCACGTCTTTGTTATTTCAGCAGATGTTTCAAGACTCCTGTAATTGCTCTGTACTTCTAACACTTCAGCTTATTTCTGGCCTAGTATTTTATTTCAGCATTGGATTCTAGAGCAAGGGGACCCCCAGCTGAGTTTTACAGTACCTGTGGAGTAAGCTGCTACTGCCACCTTGGGGAGGATTCTTTTCATGTACTTCAAGGAGACTAAGCAAACGTCATATAAAACAATTTGATTTTTTCCATCATGCCTTGCTTGGAAGATGACTTCTTAAAATCCATTGTCCATGCTGACGTATGACAGGATGCATCTGGAATGTCTTGAGTTATACTACACTAAAAATATTAATGGAAAGCAACTGCATTTTTTGGTGGGGAAGAACAGTCAGGTAACTTTTAGCTAACATTTAAACACTGCCTTGCTTACCGTGTTCTTAATTTTATCGCAGTTTTGCCAGTGTAAGAGCCCTAATCTACCTAAAGCTGAACAAACTGTATTTCACATACAAGACTCCATTTCTCCTGCAATTCTAGCTTTCCTGATATTTTGAATCAATCCTTCCTTGTTCATGCACAGCTTAAACTGTCTCCCTGGCAGGCTACTACGGCTGCTTGGATGACGTACACTGTCTTAGCTCTAATGAGAGGCATTACTACGCACAAGAACAGCCTAACAAATGTGCTGAACTAGATCGTGACAATGTAACCAAATTCGAGACTTCTAGTCAAATCAAGTGAAGCATCCAGATTTTTATTTGGAGTATCCATAGTGCTATGAGACCGACCTACTCTTGGTTTTCAAGTGTCACCCTATAAGCACTCTTCTTCAATCCTGCTTTCAGCAGCAGAGAAAGGAACCTCACTATACACTTCAAGTCCTACACAGGTTCTCTATATATGAGTTGTATGCATCTGCATTGTTAACCTTCACACTGGGCTTTTCTCAGTAGGAACTGTAGGTTGGTACTGTATTTTGAAAATACTGCAACTATTAATGCATTATAAGAATAAAAGAAAGTGCACACACTCTTCAGACACATCTATGTACACATTCAAGAACATGAAACACAAAATAACCTAATACCTCTATTATCTCTCTCACATTAAACTGCTGGTAGAAATTAAGCAACTTTCAGAAATACCCACTGTATATACAAAACCGTATTTGCATCAGACAGTGCTAAGTACTAACCCAACAGCAAACTGAATGAGGATCTATCAGTAACAGATTAACCAGATTAATGTGTACGTAACAGTCTCAGTGTGGTACGCTGCTGCTGTAAGTTTCAAAGTTCATGTACGAACTTCTTGCTCAGCACACACGGTCTATGAATGAAGCTTAAATTAAAAAAAAGACTTTCAGAAAATATAAGGTAAGCGACAAACTATGAAATTAACCTAAGCATTTAAGAGTAGACTGCATATAGGGAAAAAAAAGAAAAATCCTTGGTTATGACAGTGGGAAGAAAGAGGTAGAAGGAAGGAACGCACTAATTCATGTCCTCCATCTAATATCATTATGTTACAGAAGATGAATACAATTTACATTTAGATGAATGAATAAACTGATAACAGTAACTTCATAAAGTCTTTTTTAAAGAGAATAAGCAGGTATTCTTAAAATTAAGAGGGAAGTGATAATGGAAAGTTTCATAAAAAATGCCAAATGCTCCAAGATCATGTAAGAAAGCTGCTTATTCACCAATCGCTTTTTCATCTGAAACACCAGAATGTATTTCATCAATCAATATTCCTCTGAGACAATTACTGTGCACCGAAATCCACTAGATATATACAGAAAAGAAGAAAATAAGATGCTTATTTGTGAAGTCATTTCCCTTCTCCAACCACTAGCCTATGCTCTTCTTCCCCACTGTGCTACAGAAGTCTATATGATAGCGTATATTTCCAATGCCTAGAGTCTAAATTAGGAGACTGAATCTGCAGCATTAACTAGCTTCACCATTGTTGCTGTTTCTTTTTTAACTAAGACATACTTCCTATATTTGCCTGTATCAGAATGCCCTTTTGGATCATTATCATTATCTATTGCAGTTTTAATGGAAGTTGACAAAAGCTAACAGCTTCTAAACTGTTCTCTGCTGCAGAAGCACTCCTCTAAAAGCTACTTCACATCTCAGCCTGGCCCCTCAAAAAAACAGGTAAAGATATGAAGTCATGTAGTAACAACAGCAAGCAGTTATCACTATTCTAACTTCATCCTCCCCTAGTTTTTCTCCTTTATCACATTCTTCTGCATTTTCCACAGCTGTTTTTCAGCTCCTTTCTGCTCTGTTCTTTTTGCCCATCCTTAGCTTTATCTGCCTCACAACGTTCCTAAATCTCTTCTGAAATCTGACAGCTCTTTCCCAGCTCTTCAGCTTCCATCAGTGTAGAAGCACAGCCTATCAGGCTGCTTTCCGTGTTGTGAGAACTGCCAGGGGGTTTTGCCTCTTCTGAGTGGGAGACTGGAGGACAGCAAAGATCTTGAATCAGAGATATGCATGAGGTGCATTGAATGTCTAGAGCATACAGTCCTTAAAGATTTCAGGGAAGGACAGGCACTCAAGAGACTGAATTCTTACATTGTTGGTGGATTGTTTAAGTCTAAAACAGCACATGTTATTCCATCTTCATTTAATGGCAGGCTTGCAGATAAAAACCAAAGACAATGGCAGACAGCAATGAGATGACAATCAACCTTGTCGTCCTTGGAAGAACTCAAACTGGCAAAAGTGCTGCTGGGAACAGCCTGCTAGGCAGCTTGGACTTCGAAAGTCATCTCTCCCCAAGCTCAGTGACCACCTGTTGCAGTCTTGGGCACAGCTGCCGTATTTCGGGGATTACACGAAGAAATGGCTGTGAGCTGGCTCTCCGCGTTCGGGTACTTGACACTCCAAGCTACCCTCACAGCAGCCTGAGCAAAGAGCAGGTGAAACACACAGTAAGATCCGGCCTGGCTCACCACTTCAGGGAGGAAGGTCTGCATCTTGCTCTTCTAGTCCTGAGGGCTGACTTGCCTCTGTGTCCAGATGAAAATGATCAAACAATTCAGTTCATCCAGGTAAGAAATAAATAGAAGTTTCTACTGTAATGGCAACTCCTTTTGTCTCTGGTTCAAAGTAACTATGGAGGCACTGACTGCAGATATGAATTAGAGAAGTGCAGCTAAAAACTGGAACACCCTCCAGTCCACCAGCTGAAATACATAATTACATTCATAGATCTAACACTGTACACCATCATCACACATACCATGTTGAACCGAGAAAAGAAAAGCAAGAACTGCTATGCTGTCGTTGGATTCAACACTAGAGACTTCTGGAATCAAATTCACCTAGCAAAGCAAGCTTCTCTCACAGAAATTAGTCAAAGGTTTACTATGACACTTCTAGGTTGTTGGAGAGACGTGCTATTTGAAGTAAAAATTTGGTTGCTTCACTCTCCTGTGGTCTGCATAGGACAGAGCACAGCCAAAGCAGAGAATAATAGGTCCAAAAATCATACAGAAAATCACTATAACTAATGCTGTTATCTATTCAAGGGGAAAAAAAAAAATTAGGAAGTTAACAGATTTATTCTGGCAAAGGAAATCTTCTAGCAATACTCACTTGAAGCAAATATTTTGAATCTACGTGGAAGAGAATTTTTGGAATTAGGTAAGATTTATGGGAGGAGGTGACACTGAAAATGAACATCTTTGCTTTCAGTGGAATCTGTATATATTTTTTCTCATTGTTACCCTTCCTTATACATTTCTACTTTTCCATTTCTCTTAACTTCATATTATTTAAGAGGAATCACCACTTTCATCTAGAATTTTTACTTTAAGCCAATGAAAAATCATCTTGAGATTGTTTTGGATCAATGCCACATGGCTGTTAAAAGCCTAGGAGATGCCCCTGTACCCTTCTCCTTTAATGGAGCTTTAAAAATCCCCACTGAAATTAAATAAAACACATTAAAACCAAAACAGTAAGAAAACACTTCCTTGTTTCTTAATTATAACTTGTTTAAGGTACTATCTTTTAAAAAGGCTGTCATGCTATGATTTCATCAGCCAGAAACAAATGGGGAAGGACAGTTGCCTGAGCGCTGGGATTATGAACAATAGTGGTTGTGCTTCACTATGCCATTCCAAGAAGAAACTACCACGAGACTATGCTTTTAGCAATAAGGAGATCTCACAATAATCCTCCACATATTAGGGATGGTCTATCAGTAATGCATACAGAAGACTACTGGCATTTAAGTCTGCATTTTTTAATACACAATGCAGACTACTCAGAAAACACGGCCAAAACAAAGTTGCAGAAGTTCATAATATATCTGAAAAATGCTTAAGAGGACTGAAACTGTTGAAAGATAAGAATGAAAACAGCTGCAGGCTTCCAACCAACTGTTAGCACTGAGTGTAGCACACAAGGAATAGGGCAGAAAGTTTTCCTTATTGAGATGCTCTTGCTTCATGGATCTTCTTAACTTTTCAGTTATCTAGAAAACACAATCATCAGCCTTTAGTCCTTCCATGAATGAGCCTCGGTAATTAACCACTGAGTGGTTAATGACTGCACAGAACACAACCTCAAAGAGAGTCAATATGGAGATGAGTGAATTGTTAGTGTTTCAAGTATAACATTACGCATCTCTGGGAAAGGAATCGAACAAAAAAAAAAAAAAAAGTATTAGACATGCATTTCAGAGGGTTATATATTCATGTTTTTTATTGTGCTCGCATTACTTTCCATTTCAACATCTGAATAAGCAGCTAACAACCATTTATTTAATTCCGCTGTTTGCCATGGTCGCTGCCCTGCAGACTCCTTTTCCTTTCACTTCAAATGGAACTCCTTTGTATGTAGCCACACACTGGTCATTGGTATGAAGATCGGGTTGGATTTGCTCCCAAATCTTCTTCTTGGGATTAAGTTCTTTCTCAGGATCTCCTGTTTCAAAACAAAGAATAACCTAATAGCACACAACACATAAGAAACAGCAAGGAGCTCTATGTGAGCACACATTAGTGAGAGCTCACATAGAATCTCTGTAAAATTTTTAAGGGAAAGAAATATTACCTGTGAGTCTCAAAACAAAAGCTTTAATTTTAATTAGGGACCGCTTAGAATCTGTCTCCAGATCATCTCTCAAAATGATGGTTTTTCAGAAGAAAATGTACTGTAAGTAGCAGACCTTAACTCCTGTCTAAAGAAATCAAACTGTTGCTGGCTGTTGATTTATAAAATTTACCTAAAAGCAAAAGGATTTCTAAGAATTAAGCAGATGCAGACCATAAGAGCATGTAGAACAATATATTGCTTAATAAGACACAGCTTTATCTATACCTTAATTTTAGGAAATAATTATTTTTAGACCTTATATCAAAGGAATTTGGTAGGTGCCCTCATAGATGAGAAATACATTTTAAAAAAAAAACAAGAATCAAACAACCAGTCCTAGATAATATATCCTCTCTGAGATTATCTCAGGGGAGCCAGAAGTTCCTATGGCCAATGACAAGCTCTCTGTGTAAGCATAATGTCAAATACTTCCTTCTTCCACTAATCAGTGTCCCCTGGAAGAGAAAAATGCCATTGCCTAGTACAAGGTGTATGTGGTTAGTTTCTAGTATTCTTCAGTGGCTTCTGATCAACACAAGTAAACAAATCACATTAATTCCAACTTCTCTTATTTTCTTCTGATACAATCTACTCCTGTGCTCAAGTCCTGTAATACTAAGTTACCTCAGCATGTAGACAGCTCTAACTTCTGTAGCTTCTATAAACTGCAACTGTGCAAGAAAAGCACATCAAACTGACTTCTGTATTGAGCAGACTATTGTTGCCTAAGTAGAGTTTGCTAATTGTATTCCAGTTACGTCTCAACTGCAGTGCATATAACATTAGAGAGAAAAACAGAATAAATAACTTAAGTGCTTGGAGCTAAATGCGCATTTCCACAAAAATTAAAATTCTGTTCAATATTTAAGTTCACAAAAAAGGACTTAGACCACAGTGAATGCATACAAACTAATAACAATCATTAAGTTTAATATTAAACAACCCACTGGGCATTTCCTTCCTTTGTCAAGTATAGAAAGTTTTTTTTTCCATTAAGAACAAAATCTGACCTTTACTATAAAAAACATTTTGAATGTTAATAAGTTCATTTGTAATTTCATATCAACTCTTGGAATGTGTGATGAGCTCACATTAGATCAGTATAGGCACCAATTGTCAATACTACTCGAGTTTTAAGATGTGCATTTTCCTAAGCTTTTTTCTCACTGCATTTTCTTCCCTTCCAAAAATATTCATTAGAATGGTTTCTAAAACTTAAATTTCATTTTGCAATGGCTTAATGAGCTTCACACTATAAAATAAAAAGAACCAAATAAAAGAGCTCAGTTCTTGCTGAATGTGTCATTTGGTCTAGCAGTTCAAATACTACAGAAGAAATTACCATAATAAGCAAGAAACCTCTTCACACTGTAACACCTCACCTATGAAATGGCCTTATGAAATATTAATACTGCTCACCCTGCTATGGAATATAATCACACAACTGTATCCATATAGAGACAGCATAGTTAAATAAACCTACTGACTATGCACTGCATTCCAGCTTTAGCACCTTACTTTTTATTTCTAAGAGCTAGATATTGATCAAAATGTTAGATTCTTAGATCAGAACTAACATCAAATAACTTACATAATAACTTGAGGTTCCTGTGGCATTTTTGCATTTAAGAATTTTGCCAAAGCATCAATTATACTGGTATACTGGTACCAGCAAGATTCCTTCATTAGCTTTGAAAGCTCCTGTAACTGCTTTCACACAGCAATTCCTGTGTGGGAGTGCATAGTTTACAGACAAGTGAATGAATATTTTTTCTCAGGCTAATGTGAGTCAGATCTTTTCCACTCCTGTTTGGTATAAATTTGGTAAAGTTCTTAATACAAGAAAGACCCAACAGATCTTGAAGATTCATGTATTAGAGTACAAAATGGTGTTAAAGTTCCCTTGAGGACAATGACATTAAGTAAGCCAAGAGTACTTCTCCAGACCACAGCATCATTTTATAATTTTATACATCTTTCCTCCCCTGAAACACAGAAAATGATTTTAAGAAAATTCTCAAGCTTCAAACTAATTGTTAGTTTCTTTAAAGGAACAAGACACTTCCTTTAACAAAAAAATCAACAGGAAAATTAGCTTCTCATTAATACTTTGTATGGTGAAGGTTTAAAAAACACATTGATTGCAATGTGCTTGATAGACAGCCGTGTTTTAGCTGCATTACCGTTGCTGCTGCTCCAGTTGCTTCATAAGCTTTCACACTTCAAACCAGAATCAGATATCCTTACTATTTTCATTTCAATGACTCAGTGTTTACACTTCAAAACCACTCTTAAAAATTACATCAGAACATAAATTATTGCAATTTCAGCAGAGTTACAATCTGTATCAGAATATAAACAATTGCAATTGAGCAGTGATATTAAATGACATCTGACATAGTAGGGTTTATCCAGTAGCAGGGTTTACTCTACAGCTTTGAATGGGAGTTCCTACTATTTAGCAACTACTGTAGCCCCTCAAAATTTAGTGCGCATTACATGAACCCAGTTTAACCAGTTCTGCATCTGAACTAGCAAGTTCCATGTCTTTCTTAAACAGGCAGCATTTTTCATTTTCAAGATTGCTACTCTTAGTAAACAAAGCATACTTCAGCTATTTTCAGACATAGCATTAAATCAAAGAAAACTGAGCTTCCCTCCCACTTCCTAAGAAGTTGGATAGAATATTGCTTTCCTCATCATCATATGTCAACCAAAATACTTATTTTTAAACAAGCATCAGTTTTAGTAATGAGGATATGTTTCTATGTTGAAAACAGAAATGTTCAATCCTTCACATGTAAAAGAAAAAGTATATTTTTGAGCAACAAAGTTATGACACTTTTTCTAGAGGTAGGGCCTGGAGTCAGAAACTTGAGACACTGGGTAAGTTACTTTATATCTCTATGCTTTACATTTGCTAATTGCAACAAGCAAATGTGTTTGCTCAAACACATGCAAAACAGAAACACTTGTTAAGACTAACTTTTAATAAACTGAATAATTTTAATACTACAGCACAGCGTCACTTTTAAGAGTATTTCCCTGAATTCTCAAACTTCTGGTTGAATATTTTCAGTCCTTTATTTACACAATTCTAGCATGCTAATAAAGAGTTTTAATATGACACGTTCTGATAGTTTCAACCAAAATGCAACCAGCTTTAAAATACTGTTCTCTCTACTTTAGAAGCGATGTCACCTTTGCAAAGGTGAACTGCCTCCTATTTCCTTTAATTTCCTTCTTTCCCAAGTACCCACTGCTTACCTGGAAAACCTTCAAAAGTGATTCTGTCTCCAGCTACCGCTCCGGGTGGGGGAGCCAGAATTTCCACTTTTTCTGGGGAGCTGGCACACATCACCATTGCTTGAGATACTACTCCTCTCATCTTCGCAGGCTTCAAGTTACAGAGCAGTACTGCCATCCGATTCTGCATCTTGGGGA